TCTTAGCACACTTGTCAGAAATTAGTTGACCATAGATGTATGGGTTTAATTTTGGACTCTCAATTCTATTCTATTCTACTTATGTATGGCTGTCATTATGCCAGAACTACATTATTTTGATTACTGTAGCTTTGTAGTAAGTTTTGAAATTGAGAAGTTTGTCTCCTACAACTTTGTTCTTTTTTAGTAATATTGGTTTGGCTGTATGGGGTCCCTTACAATTTCATATGAATTTTAGGGTCAGCTTTTCTATTTCTGCAGAAATAAAAAGGCTGTTTATCTCCATTGTAATCTTTATTATTTCCTTTCTTCTGCTAGCTTTCAATTTAGTTTGCTTGTCTTTAGTTTCTTAAGGTAAGAAGTTAAATTATTGATTTGAAATCTTTTAATGTAGGCATTTATAGCTGTAAATTTCCCTCTGAACATTCCCTTTGCCGTATTCCATAGATTTTGGTATACTGTGTTTTCATTTTCTTTTGTCTCAAATATTTTTTAATTTCTCTTTTGATTTCTTATTTGACTCATTGGTTGTATAAAGAGTGTGTTTAATATCCACATATTTGTTAATTCTCCAAATTTCCTTTTATTATTCATTTGTAGTTTCATTCCATTGTGGTTGGAGAAGATTGTATGATTACAGTCTTTTAAAATGTATCGAGACTTTTTTTGTGCCCAAATATGTGGTCTCTTTTGAAGGATGTTCTCTGTTTACTTGAGAAGAATGTATGATTTGCCGTGATTAGGTAGAGTATTGTCTATATAATCTGTTAGGTCTAGTAAGTTTATAGTGTTTTTCAAGTCCTCTATTTCTTTATTAATATTCTCTCTAGATCTACCTTGTATTGAAAATGTAATATTGAAGTCTCACACTATTACTATAGACCTGTATATTTCCTCCTTCAAGTCTGTCAATTTTTGCTTCATGTATTTTGAGCTTCTGTTGTTAGGTGTGTGTATGTTTGTATTTGTTATATCTTCTTGATTATTGACCATTTTATCAAAATATAATGCTCTTCTTTGTCACTTGCAACAATTTTTGACTTAAAGTCTATTTTGTCTGACATTACTATAGAGATACAAAGCTCCCTTTTAGTTAGTTACTGTTTGTATGGAATATATTTTTCCATACCTTCAACTTTCAACTTATATTTGTCTTTGGATATAAAGTGAACTCTATGGACAACATATAGTTGGATCTTTTTTTTTTTTAATATGTTTTGCCAATTATTCCCTTTTGATTGGAGAGTTAATCATTTATATTTAAATTAATTATTCATAAAGTAGGACTTACTCTTGCCATTTTGCTATTTGCTTTCTATATATCTTATATCTTTTATGTTCCTTAATTCTTCTGTCACTACCTTCTTTTGTGTTTAGTTGATTTTTTTGTAGTGTTTCATTTTTATTTCATTCTCATTTCCTCTTCTGTATATTTTAAGTTTATTTTGCTACCGGAGGATTAAAAGCAACATCTTAAATTTATAACAAACTACTTTGAAGTAATACCAACTTAGCTTCAATAGTACACAAACACTCTGCTCTTATACAGCTTTGTCCCCACCTTTACATTATTACTACAATTAGATCTTTATGCATTGTATACCTATTAACATTAATTTGTAATTATTTTAATATGCCTTCGTTTTTTAAATCATATAGAAAAAGAAAGCAGAGTTATAAAACAAAAATTCAATAATACTGGCTTTTATATTTACCTATATAGTTACCTTTCCCAGTGTTCATTATCTCTTAATGCGGCTTTGAGTTACTATCTCATATCCTTTCACTTAACCCTGAAGGACTCCCTTTAGCATTTTTATTAGCAACAAAATCCCTTTTGTTATCTGTAAAGTCTTAATTTCTCCTTCCTTTTTTGGAGGATAGTTTTGCTAGATATAGAATTCTTGGTTGACAATTTTTTCTTTATAGAACTTTAAATGTGTTGTCCCACTGCCTTTTAGTTTCCATGATTTCTGGTGAGAAATCAACTGTTAATTTTATGGCTATCCTTAGTACGGGACAAGTCGCTAGTCTCATTGCTTTCAAGAATTTCTCTTTGGCTTTCAATCATTTATGGTGCATCTTGACATGAATCTCTTTTAGCTTGTTTATCCTACTTGGAGTTTTTTGAGCTTCTTAAATATATCTTTTACCAAATTTGAAAAATCTTCAGCCATTATTTCTTAAAATATTTTCTGCCCTTTTCCATTTTTCCTTTATGAGATTCCATATATGTTTGTATTCTCTATGGTGGTCCCTACGCTCTATTCATTTTTATTTATACTTTTATCTTTCTGATCCTTAGACTAGGTAATTTCAGCTGACCTATGTTCAGATTCACTGATTCTTTATTTTATCTGTCAAAGTTGCTGTTGAAGCCCAGTGAATTTTTTATTTTAGTTATTATATTTTTTAGCTCTAGATTTCTATTTGGTTCCTTTTTATAATGTCGTTTCTTTTTTGATATTCCCTGTTTAGTGAGACATCATCATTCTCCTGGTTTCTTTTAGTTCTTTGTCCAGAATTTCCTTGATCTCTTTCAGTATATTTAAGACAGTTGATTTAAAGTCTGTGTATAATAAGTCCAGTCCGAACTTCTTCAAAAAAAGTTTCTGTTACTTTATTTCTGACAAATGGACTATACTTTCTTTCTTGCATTCTTGTCTTATAATTTTTTTGTTGAAAACTGGGCATTTTGACTATTATAATGTGGTAACTCTGGAAATCAAATTCTTCCCATCCCCAGGGTTTGTTGTTATGGGTTTTTATTATTTGTTCAGTGACTTTTCTGAATTATTTTTGTAAACATTGTATTCTTTTTCACGTGTGGTCACTGAATGATATATCCTATTATCTTAGTGGTCAGCTAGTGATTTGACAGCAATTTCCTTAAATATCAAAATTTAGCAGCTTCTTTCTTTATTAAGTACTCCCCTGGTTGTTGTAAGTTAGGTTCCAGAGTTCTGAAAAAGGTGATTATGACAGTTTTTGCCAGCTTAAGTTTGCTTTAATAGAAGGATGGCTTTTTGGAGTTCCCTGCTCTGCCATTTTTAGTGAGGTCAGTTGACCCTCATTTATTCTTCATTCTACAAGTAACTATATATTTAATTCTATGGCAGTGTGTCTCTAGTTATTTTTGTTGTCTGAAGCTCATTCTTTACATTTCTCAGGAACAGTTTGTGGGGACATTTCTTGAGTTTTCACATGCTGATAACAGTTTGTCTGTGCCCTTTATACTTGAAAGTAGCTTTTGCTGGATAGAAAATGCCTGGCTCACATTTTCTTTCTTTACTACTTTGAATATGTTACTCCATTTTCTTATGATTATTGAAATACCTAATGTCTTTCTTTCCCTTTTAACATTTGCTGTTTTTGCCTTGAAGCCCAAAGGATTTTTCTTTTTTTCTTTTAAGCCTAGAAATTTTACTCTAGAGTATGTCTTAGTGTTGGTTTTTATAGGTAGACATATTTTTGAATTATGGATTTTAGTATTTTTTTCTGTTTCCTTGATTTAGTTTTCTTCAGGGATTTCTATTATCTGAATGTTGAATCTTCCTTGCCTAGCTTCAGTATTGTCACTTTTTTTCAAGTCCTTTTAGCTCTTTCATAATTCCTTTTTCATTTTTAATAATTTTCTTTTTTCACATGTTTCTTAATGCCTTATCTTTTGTGTTTATTAACTTTTGGGTTCCTTTTAATTTGTCCTTTATTTCTGAAATGATTTCTTCATTTATTTCTAACTCTGAATTTTGTCATCTTATCTCTGAGTTTTTCTCATTGTGATTTTTCATATTGAGTAATTTTTTTAATGTCTTTTAGCTTATTTTGAAACAGTAAGTTATAGTTTTGATCTGTTTTATGGAAATGTGTTTCTGATGTGCCATTTCCTTTTTCTTTTATTTTAAAGAGTAACTTTGTTTTGGACGTAGTCTTGGTACTTCTTTTGTTGTTCACTTTCATGTGATAATAGTTTTTCTGAATTTTTTGATATTGGGGTGGTTCGGGACAGGTTTTCTAATTTGCCAAGAAAGAACTCCATCTTCTGATTTTCATGTGGTTTAAAAAATACAGCAGCTTGCTTTCTGATATTTCCTTATGTCCCTATTTATGTGTTATTTCCCTGCTTTTATCTGAACCTCCTTTTTACTTTGTCTCTCTTGTCCCTGTTCTGATCAATTTTGTTTCCACTTCGAACAGTTTTCCCATAGTGTCAGTCTTTGTCCTGGAAGAGAGCCCTGGAAGGTCAGTTTTCAGAGTTCACAAGGCTTCTACTGCTCCAGTCCCTCCAGAACTTACTGGCAAGCTCTTGCACTCTACCACTATTGCAGTGGATAAAACCCTCCCAGTTTCAGCTGCTGTTCAGTTGGCCCATTGTGCTTTCCTGTGAATACCTAGCTGCTTTGGGGTTATCCTGTCCTTGGATCTGTCAGGGGCCTCATTGATTTTCTTGTATACATGTTGATAACATGTAGGTCTTATAACTAAAAGTAGTTTGTCCCTACCTGCTTGTATTTTGGAAGTTATGAGAAAAGCTTGTCACCTAGTTTTGTAGTAAATGTTACCCATGGGGTTTGGTTCTTCCATCTGGCTGCTCTTTGTTATATGGAGACTTGGATTTAAAAATTTGCACTGCTTTGGCCATCATCTTCTCAGCACCCAGTCTTTTATACTTGAAATCTCTTTATATGTTGTCTCTTTGTCTCTCTGACCTGCATTCTTAGTAATGTCTAATTCTGTCTTTCAAGTCACTTCATTTCTTTTCAACTGAGTCTAATCTTTGGTTTTTAATACGTTTTATTTTTCATTTCTATGAACAGTTCTATTTTGTTCTTGTTCAGCTATGCTTCGTCATTCTTCATATTTAGTTTCCAGTTGGCTACTCATACTTTTAATCTTGTCAAAGTTTTTCTATTTCTTTAAACATATAAGCATAGTTATTTTATATTTTGTCTGATAATTCCAATATTTGATGGTAGACTCTGTTATTTCTGCTGCTTCTTGCTCATGGTACCTTGTTTCCTTTTGTGCTTAGTGAGCTGCCCGCTTTCCTTGGAAATTTATTTGTGGAGATATTTTATGGCCTGGGCTGAAAATGGGGCATGGACTATATATGGTAGCATTTTTGTCCTTTTTCTCTTGTTTATTTTTAACATAGAAGGCATTAAACTATGCCTGTTTATCTGCAACTTACTTTTTCCCACCAAAATGCAACAGTATATTATAGTGCTGTTGTTAAAGTAGTAATGAATTGCTCTTTGCCTTGTTCTCTGAGAACTGTAGGTATATCCTGAGTTTGAAGATCAGAGAGCTTGTCTGCCATCAGGATCTTTTCTGACTTGTTCTTCAGACAACACAATCCGCTTCTGGAACATGGATAGCAGCCCTGACTCTCCCTGGCAGAAAAACATCTTCAGTAATGTGAGTGGCTTCGTTGTGAACCATCTTTGAGGTGGAACAAAGACCTGCTTTAAGCTAGGATATTGGGGCAGGAGTGAATCTTATAGAACCTTGCTGTTAGGCATCACTAGGGTTACGAAGGCGGGTCACTCTGTCTCCTGCTCTCTTGTTTCTCTCTCTCTTTCTTCTTCTCTTTCTTTCTTTCTGCCAGTTAGCAACTATTGTCCGGATGTGTTGACCCAGCTACTCCAGGCAACCTGACATATTCAACAGAAGAGAAATTGCTCCCCAAGCCTGAGTTAGAGCTTCCTGAGAGCACCTGATGGACCAAATCAGGCAGCGCCTTCCCCTGTCTAGCTAGCTGCAATAAAGTGAGGCCATGGGTGGGGTGTTGGCAGGACCCTAGAGACAGCCGTAATGGGAAGCGTGGGAGAAAACACTTTGCTGAAGAAATGGTTTGTATTGTTAGATCAGTAAGAGAGCTTCTCTGAGGAGCTGAGACCTGAATGCATTATTTATTCTGCAGATACTTATTAAAATCTGTGCTTAGGTGCTATGCTATATGCTGGGAACACATCAGTGACTAAGACAGACCCTTCTCCTGCACTCGTGGCACCCACAGTCTTTTTTTTGGGAAAGGCAGACAATGAACCAGTAACTGCACATTATGATATAATCACAAGTGTGGTAAGCACCATGAAAGAAAATTACAAAGTGCTAGTAGGATATGTATAAAAGTCATCTGATCTTATCTGTAGCATCAGGAGCAGCTTCCTGGTGGAAGAGACAACTAAGCTGAGATATGGAGGATTGGGAGGAGTAAAGAGGGAAGGAGAGAGTGTCCCATGCCAGAGGAATAGCCTGTGCAAAGACCCTGAAGTGGGATTGAGCTTGGTGAGTTGAAAAATCTGAAAAGTCAGTGTGGCTGGAACAGAAAAGGCCCTTAATGCAGGATATGTATGTATGTGCTCCTTTACTATTCCCTTCACCCCACAAACCAAAACTACCATCTTCTCTTGTGCACTTGTGATATATATGTTATATTTGGCTGCATACAATCGAAAAACCCAAAATAAGAGGTAAAAGTTTGGTTTTCTGACTCATAAAAATAGTCTGGAAGTAAACAGTCTGGGCTGTTATGGCAGCTGCAGGAAGCCCTCAGAGATCCAACAGCCTTCTAGCTCTCCACCCTGCCATTTTGAAGGAGTGGCCCTTGTTTTAATCATCCAAAATGGCTTCTGGAGCTTCAGTCATCACATCAAAATTCCAGGCAGGAAAGGAAGCAGAAGGGTTCTTGCTTGCTGTACATTTCATTGACCAGAATTTATTCACAGAGCCTCATCTAGCTGCAAGGGAGACTGGGAAACGTAGTCATTATTCTGAATAGTGAACCTCCCAGGTCAAAATCGGAGTTCTGTTACTAACGAAGAATGGGAGACTAGCTATTGGACAAAACTGCAGAAGTGTTTCAGAGCTTCTCACAGCATTGACCTTAGCCTCTCCTTCCTGCAGACCCTACTGAAGGTAGTGTATGTAGAGAATGATATCCAGCACCTGCAGGACATGTCACACCTCCCAGACCGGGGGAGTGAGAATGGGACACCTATGGATGTGAAAGCTGGGGTACGAGTCATGCAGGTCAGTCCTGATGGCCAGCACTTGGCTTCAGGCGACCGAAGTGGAAATCTGAGGTAAGTGGGCTCTGGTGGTTGTCTAGCGTACACCTCCCAGCTCGGGCTTGGGTACTCAGGATGGTAGGGAAGAGCTCTACCACCAGATACCCATTGGGAATAAGGGCTATGAGTAGCAATCCTGTAACTAGCCACCCCTGGGAACTTAAGTGAGGAAATATCTTCCAGAAAGGCTGAGGTGATGATAGCTACTGGGACCTCAGCAGTTGGGACATGTGAACTTTGCCCACAGAGTAAACAGGCAAATTTCTATGACACTTTACCAGCCATTTGGTACCGCTGCTGAAC